CTCTACTGTCGTAGACTACGGTCACTTTTCTGTAGGAATTTCGTAGAAACCTTGGTGGCAGGTGAGTCTTCCTTCCGTAGTGTGACCCCAAACATCACACCTCGACCCATTTTTTGCCACATGTTCCATGTTTAGAGTAGACGTTATGTAGAAAGAGAGGTCAGCGACGAATTTCCTTTACTGTCGTGGACTCCGGTCACTTGTCTGTAGGAATTACATGGAAATCCTGGTGGCAGGTGAGCCTTCCTTCCGTAGTGTGGCCTCAAACATCACACCTCCCCCCATTTTTTGCGACATGTTCCATGTTTAGAGCACATGTTATGTAGAAAGCTGTGAAGGCAGCGACGAATTTCCTTCACTGACGTAGACTACGGTCACTTGTCTGTAGGAATTACATGGAAACCTTGGTGGCAGGTGAGCCTTCCTTCCGTAGTGTGGCCCCAAACATCACACCTCGCCCCATTTTTTGCGACATGTTCCATGTTTAGAGCAGATACTGGCGCCAAGCGCAGGAAGGTGGCACTGTCGCCACTCGAAACTGCGAGGCAATGGCGCTTAAGCCTTGCCTAGCGTGCTCCACGCTGCCAAACAGTCGCGGTATACGCGGCCTCTGTGCTCTCTCGCATACACCGTACTATCTTGCCTTTCCCTCTCCTCGCAGCGCAGTGTCTCAGGTCATGGCCACACGGCTGGCCTCATAAGGGATGTTTCAGTGTTTTATACGGTGAATTTTGCTTCTTTTCCCTCTGATGCTCCTCATTGCACTAATTGCCTCATTTTTGAACCTTAATAACATAGCTACACGATTCAGACTAGTGGCTTCAAGCCTCAGCGTATGTAATGCACTCGATCCCTGTCCCTCGAACTCGATCTCTGTCCCTCCCTTTGACTGAACATGCTGGTCCCAAAAAAACGAGTCAATTTCCCTCTGAGACAGAGTTTCCAATCTACAATAGACAATCAGTTGTGCCAAATTATCTTCATTTTCAATTCTTCTTACAAATGTTTCAATTATTGCTATTATTATTGACAACTTCTTCAATTATTTCTAGAATGGAACAACAAAGATCGCATTATTTGGGTAATTCTTCGTATTCGCAGGCAGTGTTGAGAAAGATCGCGATCGTACCGAGACTGAAGTATTGAACGCAACCTGAAGCAGAATTGATAATCGCGTAACTCAAACTAGAGCTCACAAGTCAGGCTGTGGTATGAAAAAAGCTTACAATTAATATGGGCTCCGACTCAAATTTCCTGGATGCATTCATTTGGAACTGCATTAAAAAAGGAGTGATATAGACAGAAAAGTTTAGCGAATGTAGCCACAATGAACCAAAGTTTTAAATATGTGAGAAATATCGCGCACCTTCAAAGTGAGATACTTGCCACGATCTATAGAATATTGCTGAGTAAGGATATTGATTAGGTCGATATTGTGATTAATGGTGATAGCATTGCCTGTAATACAATGTCGACATATTGCTAACCAATTTCTGCCAAAAGGTATTGATGCACTTACTGGTATCATTGATCTAGATATTGAAGAGCAAGGAAGCGGCGAGTTATTGATTTTTAACTTGGTGAATCTCTTCCTTCACTCTTTTGATCCTTGCACTTATACGGTCCTTTCCGTCGGGAACAGTACAGACGGCTCTGTGATGAACTTTTGTGGGGATCAGAGAATGCCAGGGCCGTGTTCTGCACTATTTCGCAGTACCAACACCTCCTGCGGGCTCTACATTCCGTAGTAGTGTGTCCTTTCCTGAGGCATGAATTTGCAATAACCTTGTTGGTCGAGGTAGTCATAGCGTTCCTGTCCATTTGTTATAAGTGCACAAGAGTCCGAAAAATGGTCTCTGCAAAAGGCACAGTCCACAGATATTTGTCCGTCCGGTTGCTTGCCAATCTTTCAATGAGGGAGCAAGAATCGACCTCTGTAGAGATCGTCCATTTACATTTCAAGATCGAGAAGGTATTGCTGACGCTCGTGTTCTCGCTGACGACGAGCTTCCTCCGCCGTACGACGATCTTCTTCTCGACGACGGTGATATTGAAAACGATCTTCCTCATATTGAAACTGTTCGCGTTCTTGAAAACGATCTTCCTCATATTGAAACTGTTCGCGTTCTTGAAAATGATCTTCCTCATATTGAAACTGTTCGCGTTCTTGAAAACGATCTTCCTCATATTGAAACTGTTCGCGTTCTTCCTTTAATTGCTCTACTCGCTCAATATTGTTGCGATCAGTAACCTTGGGCGGTGGGGAGTGACCCATTTTCTTGCTTTTTACAGGGGCTGCTAGCTTCAAGGCAACATCGTCAATTTTCCGTTCAAGCTTTTCTGTTGCCCTGTTGAGGACTGCAACAAACGGTCCTTATGCTGGACTTTCTCGTCTTGTACCATCTTTTCTGCACGATCCAGTTCGCTTTCGATGTCCATGATATTGCGATCGAGGCGTCTAAGCTCTACCTGCACCAGCATAGATAATGCTTTAATGTCATGATCATAATCTTCCAACCATTCCATTCTCTTGTCGTAGAAAATATAACATTGTCGACCTTCACCCGGTAAATCGAGTCGAAGAGCATGTACCGTTGAGTGTAGCTGTGGAGTCTCTCCTTTGCGTATGTTGCCGTTTTCCAGAGCCGTGAAGCTGCTGAAATGAGCTCTCCTCCTGTGAATGTCGACATGACGCTGTCGTCATATGGTGTGCCAACTGGGCATTCAACGCTCTGCCCATTTTGACATGGGTGTGAATCATGCCAAGGGTTGTTGTCATGTCCTTTTCAATATCGTCATCCCCCACTTTTTCTTTGTACAAGTCGGCAAGAAGCGAAGACTGCTCAGGTATTCGTCACCTTGAGCCATGACGTATATGGAGTCTTCTGAAACAGTGGAAATCTAACACTGAGGGCTAATCTTGCTTATCTGTCAAACATTGAAAAATTCTCTAGATATTGTTTGACTATGAAATCAGAATCCAAAATTTTGTGCTCTTTATTGTGCCTTGCAAGGATTTCCTTAAGAGAAATTCTAACTACTTGAATGCCCAACGCCATAGCGTATAACCAGTCTTGGAATCAGTATCTCGACCTTCCTCCGGCTTCTTCCCCGCGCTCACTTCGCTCTGCGCGCTCAACTAATGGAAACTGTGAAGCTACTTCGAAGCTATTGTGTCACGCATTTTGTGGCACTTCAGAGCAACTTCCGGTGCAAGATAACACGCCTATACGTGGTGAGTGTGTTCAGCCTATTTTTCAGAAAAAAAATGCGTTTAAGTTTTATTATGGCTTATTACCAGTGGTTTTTTCTAGGTTGCTTTCCTTGAATACTTTGATATTGCATAGAAGTTTCTCTATTTTCTGCTATTTGATTAATACGTGAGATCATCACCGTGTTCGAAACACTGAAAATTAGGTGACCATCGAGAGGGATCGATTGAGCATCTTGCTGGATTTACGTTCTATGGTTCCAAGAACAGGGTTGAGGTTATTGTCTAATTATGCATGAAAAAAGGATGGTCTCACCGTGTTATTATGACCACACAGGAATCCACTCTATACTAATCGGAGCTTCCTTTTCTGTCAAGAGGTTCAGTTTCAGAGGATACCTGTCAACCCTCTGTCTGTTTTGTGTCTGTCTATTCAGCTCGGAACCAGTGGGAGGAAAAATAATAATTTGGGCATTTAGTGGCTCCCATAAAGTACCCCCAGTGAAAGTGTCAAGCCTACAAGTTCCTCATTCATAATTAGTTTGCCTCAGCTGGTTGGACTTGCTAACACAGTTGACTATGCATTATTTCTTACTAAAGGATGATATTTTTCAGTCGAGTGCTCCCTTGATTGGGATAGAATTCTTGCTTCCCAAGTCAGCGATTTATTTCTACATCTCCCAAACGATGTCTCTGTGGCTCCTTAGGCTATCGGATGCAACATCGCACGCCTCATAGTCCCCTCTAGCAGCAGGTAATGAGGAATGTCACCCTGGAAGTCCGGACATGGCAATTCATTGAAAGAACTTGAGGTGGGTTCGTACGAGAAAATAGCACTAAATATATATAAAGCAGTGTCAAACACCAATGATGACAAAAGGTGGAAGGTAGGTCAAGGATTATACTGACGCATCAACTTGATGCTGAGTGAGTTCGGGGGACCACGCAACGGTGCGGCGCTCTGTTCGTCTGCTGCTTCAGGGCCAAACCGCCGATGGCGCGTATTTCGTGGCGGGAAACTGCCACGTGGCGACAAAATAGTGAGCCCTTTGGACTAAGCCTCACAGCAGCGCGCCGTGCCGCGGCGTGGTCCCCCCTACCCATTTAGCACCACAACTTTTTCCTTTTCACAGTGTTGTAAATAAATGAAACCATCATTTGTTTTCCGTACCACTTTATCACTCTGACGATAAGTACGGTCGGAATATCCGCTCTGCGCTCTGCTATTGATTATTAGCACACTGGTTCCCAGGTTCGCAGGCTGAGGGATAAGCTAGGATATCGAAAAGCAACAACAAGATATTGTCACATGATCCGAGATCCCAATAAATTGAAGCGATTGGATTTCTGCATCAAGATGATTGAAAGTGAGGAAGATTTCAGTCAATGCATTTTCACAGATGAAACGACAATAATGGGTGCGTATACACACATCGTTCATTTGATTGCATGTTAGTGTTAAACACATACTTTTCAGTTGGTTGTGCAGTCAAGCACTGCTTTGTAAAAAACAATAACTACTTCGCACGACTGCGATCACGTGCCAAACATCCGATAAAACTGCATTTGTGGGGCGGCATATCTATGAGAGGAGCTACTAGGCTTGCAATATTCCCTGGTTCTATCAGACTGGACAGCAAGAAATATTGCGAAATTTCCCCCCCTTCGCCGCGAAGATCGGCTGCTATGTGCCGTTTGCCACCAATATTTTCAATGGTGAGTGAACGTCTCATGAAGGTTCAGTGGTTTGGAGGGTAAAGATTCAACAAGGGGGTACCAATTGTTCTTTATCTCAACAATTTTTCAAGGTTATGGAGTACTAGTCACACGACAAAATGCACCCGACACACACAAAAAGTTCGGTATAACCGGCTGCGAGCACATGACGGATGACGGTGATAGTGCTTCGGAAATTCCGGAGATTTGAACCACCACCTATCGACACTCACTCGGAAGCAATGAAACCCAAATTCGTTAAAACTTAAACTCCTACGCTCGTGAAATACCAGATTTTGATGCAGAATGAACCTCTATCACACACCACAACTCATTGGTCACGCCAAACAAAACTGTTTTAATGGAAGCATCTCCACAGCAACAATAAGAAGCAACCATCCCCCAACCCGAAAACCAACATACACCTCCAGATTGCCCGAACCCCCCCACCAGCACACTCACACAGAAGTGTGCAGAAATTATATATCAGGAATACGAAAAAACTTCACCGCATTGTCGAGAGGGAAGGCAAGAACATTTATGAAGACGATAACTCCGTGATCGATAGTCTCTCTCGATATGACTGATTTGGCGAAATTTTGTTGTTTAAGAGCAAATCTTGTTCTGTTTAGTTGTTAAAGTTGCTATTCGTGAAGATGTTTTGTTGTTTAATTCAATATACTGCAACAGTATTACTACACAATACTCGATATTCATCTATACTCTCTGAATCTCGAATGCTATCTCCATCTATAATGGTGTTTAGTTTTCCATGTTGACATTCTTGAAGATGTTGAATTTGTTGTTTTGATTTTCACATCCCATAGAGCGAATTCGAAGAACTTGCCAAATAAGGCGTTCTTTGTCGTTCCTTTTAGCGAATAATTGAAGAACTTTTCGAATCAATAGGTTTCGCACAACTGTTTGTCCATTGAAAACTTTTTCTCAAAGTAAAACGGACTCGTTTCTCGTTTTCTGAGGATTAGCATGTTTAGTCACTCCGCGATGTTCGAGCTGACTAGCTACCTGGCTACCTCCGCTAAACTTTTCACATCCTATATCATTCCTTCTTTTAGCGCAGTTTGAAATGAATGCTTCCAGAAAATCTAAGCCGGAGCATTTTTGATGCAAGCTTTGTTTTTCTTTTTTTGCTTTTCAATAGCCTAGCCTTTAGATCTCGTAATCGACGATTCTGCTATTGTAGGTAGTTCTACAGCTCTTTGATCTCACTCAGTAGAGGATATATGGAGCTTTTCCAGGAGCAATAAATCAGTACCATCACTACGGCACGGCACCATCTAGAGGACCCCGTCGTAGGATCAATAGTACCAGTAAGGTCACCAATACCTGAGTTTGGGTAGCAATCGATGAAGTGTATTACAGGCAATACTATCACTATTATTTACAATATCGGTATAATCAATATACCTGCTCAACAATATCCTGGACCGCGTGGCCAGTGGATCCTCTGTAAAGGTGAGCGACATTTCTCTATATTTCATGGACTTTGGTGAATCGTGGCTACCTTCGCTGATCTTTTTTCCTATACATTCCTACTTTTAGTGCAGTTCAAATGAATGTATCTCGAAGTTCTAAGTCGGAGCCCGTTTTGAATGTAAGCTTTCTTTCGTTCCATGGCTTAAGGAGTTATGAGCGCTACCGCTTGCACTTGCCCAAAATTTTGCCCTTGTTTAGAAGCCTGCCAGGGGAAACCACGCCGTCGTGTTTTTCACAAAATCAAAAACTGCTGATGTGGTGAAAATTTCTGCCATCTCTGG